AATGTGGTCTTCAGACCAGCAGCACTGGCATCAATGGGGGCCTTGTGAGAACTGCATAATCTCAGGCTGCACCCCAAAACTTCTGAATCCAAATCTGCATTTTATCAAGATGCCCAGGTGCTTTGTATGTATATTAAAGTTTCAGAAGGACTGCATTAAACTCATTGGTATAAAGTGAAACTTACATAACCAGTTTGAAATTAGTAGTAAGGTTAGAGACAATGTAGCAGTTGGTGATCTTTAAGCATCTAGCCCCAGTGGAGTCACTTCACAGTATGGCAGAAAACACGTAATTGTTACCCCTAAACCTGAAGAGGACATACAGCTTGCAATATATGTTTGCCAAATACTGAAAGGGAAACTTCATCACTGGGAAAATGAAGGCTAGGCTGCTTTGACTATTAATTTAAAAAGGGAAAAAAGTACCAGTAAGAAAAAAATAATCGTAACAGTATCTTTCCCCCATGTATGTGATGAATAGGACATGTTGCCAAACACTTGGTTTCAAAAATCCAAAGCAGGGCAGCAAGTGCCACATGATGCAGTGTGGCAGCTGGGAGAGAAGTGCGATGAAACACTTCCTGGAGATGTAATTTAGGACAGAGTAGTTATCAAGTGCTGAGGGTGAAGGGGGCAAATTGCAGTGCTTACACTTTTCTTTCAGTATATCAGTCAGCAACATAGGGCAGAAACAAAAGTCAGGGCCAGCCCACAGAAAATACGCAATACCAGAGTTAATTGAAATGATGGTAGGAAAGTCTTGTGTTTTGAAATTGAAAGCAAAATGTTCTACTACTGGCAAAAATATTCTTTGGAAATATTTCTTAGTTATTTGGCTGAAAATATTGTAGTTGCTTTGTGATGCAAAAGTCTATGTGGAAAACATGTTAGATACTTAAATAGTGTCTGAAAGGAAATAGGAGTCACAAATATCCAAGAGAAGCGTGGTATTAGTTTGAAGCAAAAACTGAAGCAATAAAATAATTCAAGTAAATCTTGGCAACCCTAGAGTATGAAGAAAACAAAGGTAATTATGACCAGGCTATTGATACTCAGAGAGACCATTTTATCCAAGCAAAATGGTTATTGTAATCACCCCTTGCAATATCAGAATTCAAATGATTCTAAGTACATTTAGGGGCAAAATGATATGGCTGTCCTAATGTGTTCTAGTATTTTCCCTTGAAATACTCTAAGAAGGCTTAGAAGAGAACTAATCCTTATTACACACCTACTGTGTGTTTTACATGTGTGATTTCCTAACATCCTCATAATCCTGTGTGGGAGATGATGTCCCCATTTTACAGATGAGCAAAATGAGGTCCAAGGAAGTATTTCATCCACTTCATATAGTTAACAAAAAACCAAAGCTCACAGACAAGAATTAAATTAAAAACTCCAGAGCTGATTAAAACAGCTCCCTCAGCAAAGATAGCTTGGAAGGGATCAGAGTATAGGACTGTTAACGTTTCAAATAAGAGGAAGGGACTGTTCTGTAGCAGCATCCATGGAGATAGGTTTCTCCTAGCACCCACCGTACCTTTACACTGCTGGAACCCTCCTATCACCCATTGCTGGATATATCTTAGGTTTCAGATATATTTCATACTTGATAGTTGTGGTTTTGGCTAAATTGGAGGGTTTAGAAGACCTGGCACTTTTTAGGCAGTGTTATGTTATAGAACTGATTCTTGAGCTGGGACTTGGAAATGTGGGTTCAGTTCTAGATGTGTCACTTATTAGGTATGAGGTGGGTAAGTTATATCATTTCTGTGGGTGGCAGTTTTTTTCACCTATAAGAAGTTGGATTAAGTAGCCTTAAGGACCTTTCTGGATCCATGGTTCAACCCTCCAGATTCAGTCCTTTTAAGATAGTGACTTCTGTCAAAATAGAAATGACCTGAAGAGTTAATAAATTTGTTCAGGCAAGCCTATTCTGTGGTCAAGTTTAACCTCAAATGAAATGGTTTATGTATTTTTTTCCCTAGGAGCTTGTTTAAAACAAATATATATTCGAATTCTTAGACATATCTGGGTGCAAATTCAAGCTCTACCTTCTCTTAGCTCTTTGACTTAATATATCTGAGTTCTATTTTTGTTTCTGTAAAATTGGAATTGATAATGATTAGCTGTAGTGCAGTAAAGTGTCTGGCATCTAGTAGGAGTATAATAAGTGCTGGTTATTCCAATAGTCATTATGGGTTTGAACTATAGTTGGGCAACAATTCAAAAGAAATTTCTCCCCAGAGAGATGGAACCTGAGATGGTAACCTCATCAGCACTGGAAACTTGACATTAACCCATCTTTATGCAAACAAACAAACAGAGTGTAAAAAGGTAATTACTTTTTCTACACCTATTGGCATCTCTTTCTTTCTTCATAAAACTCTGTAATTCACCCCTTAGTGGATAAAATCTTGTCAAAGACCTGCCGATGTACTTGACAAAACAGCTTGAGGGAGTATTTGAAGACAAGAGTGTCATGGGACACCTGGGAAGAGCGGCTGTCATAGCCACATTTCATTTCAGTGTCTTTATTTTCAATTTCTGCCCTGTGTGCACAAGTTACCAAAGATTCTAAGAAGAGGAGGAGGAGACTTCATTTTGTTATAAAAAATAAAAAAACCAAACAATATTTATGTTGACATATAAATAACCAGTCCACCCACACCCCCTGGGTTTGAGTGACTGCCTCTTGCCCTCCCCACCAAAGCTTTCCCTTCCCCCTCTTGATGCCCCCTCCACTCTCCCACCTTCTGCCCCTTGCTACAAACACCTCTTTTTAATTTTTCCTTCCCTCTTCCAGTTTTGTTTTGGTGTTGTGAAGGTGGAGAAAAGATGAACACAAGAAACAGCTTCAAATCATCTGTACTCTTTGAACCCTATTACTCAAAGCTAAGGTGAGGCCTTCAAATAATGAGATTGAGCTGCCAGTTTCTAAAATGAAGACCAATAGAAAGATTTAAAAGAAAATTCATCTGTTTTCTACAGGTAAATTTCCTGAGCAAAAAGCATAGTAAAATTTCATGTTTCCAAGTAAATAACCATATTAACCAAAGCCTTCTAAGCCTTCTGAAGTTCAAAAAAGGAAACACATGACTGCTGATTAAGTAATTATTAGAGATACCATGCTAATTCTGAAGTCTCTTTTGGTGCTAATATGATTGAGAGTAATAATTTTACTTTATAAGTACTTATAGGTTTATAGTTGCTCTCCTGACATTTTTATGACATACCATTGTCACAGCTAACCAAATATCAGTTGATGGAGAGGTCTTAACCTGTAATGGGATCTTCCAAGTATAATAGTGCTCTTAGGATCTACTTGTAATGACATACTATGTAACAAACAGGACAAAGCTGTTACAGGACAGCTTAAAACAAACCCTTAAATGCTTAAAAGTATCTCTTAACTAATTAAGCTATTAGCTAAGAAGGGTTATTAGCTTGAGTTGGGGGTATCAGTATATTAAAAGAAAGGTGTATCTTAAGGTTTTCTTTAGTAAGTTGTCCCCCATTTCATTTTTATTACCCCTTTAGATAATACTCCCTAAGTAGTATTAAGAACTGTTATAAATTATTCTCTAAAAAGTAGGGAAGAGGGGGAAAGAGAAGGCTGTCAACACAGGCAAAAACTGAAAATGTCTTGCTTAATCTTTAAATATTGTCCATTTTCAGGACTGTGGTTGGGATTTATCTATTATGTATCCAAATATATCTATTTGGCACATTTCAGACAAATGGAGATTCCAAAAGGAATTAAGTACTTTGAAGCATCATGTTTTCTCAAAGATGCTGTGCAGATTCAAAGAACTCACATTTTGTTACTATGCTTTCCAAGCAATAACACCTTTCAGTTTGAGATGCTGTAATTTAGTGGTTCTAGATGACTAGATAATCTTTCCCTGTTGGGCTGAATTTCTACATTCTGTTGTTTCCTAAACTCACCAACTTATCATCCAGATAAAATATATGTTTGGAAATATTTTGCCCGTGGATACACGGAGTTGCAATGTAATCCTACAGAGTGGAAAATGCTGATCTTCTTGTAAATGTACCACTGACCTCCCAATTCAGTCTTTTGGCATATAGGACCTTAATTTCTTCTCTAATTTTTCATACATGAATGTTTAATATCTTGCTTCTTAAATCTATTTGTAAGATTCTCAAGACCAGAGATCCCATGATAAAAACTTTCTTAAATCTTTGAAAATGCCATGCCAGAAAGTGCACATGAATACAGTTATTGTTTCATTCTTTTACTTGAAATGAAATTTGTTTTTTTGCAACAGCTAGGTCACTGAATGTCATTATATGAGCAGTAACTACCAAATTATCTTAGGCAAGTCACTTAACCTTTCTTGTCCCTAGTTTCCCTACTGGAGAAGAATCTTTCATCTAGAGAGTTTAGTTTTAGAGTAAGAATATTTTTTCTTTTAAAAATCCTGTTATTTCTATTTATAAGAAGTAGTAATTGTACATATTCTCTAACCTGTCTGAATTTCCAGTTCCTCACCTGTTGTTTGGGGATCCAGACAGTGGTTTCAGCTCACAGGGATTTTTTTTTAGATGCAGAATGAGAACACAAATGTAAAGAATGTAGCATATTACCTGAACTTTGGTTAATGCACAAAAAAGTCAACTATTATTATATCAAGTTTCTTCCAGTTCTAGAGTGCTAAGATTAGGATAAAAGTAAAACCTTAATTGTCGAGCAACCACATTCCCAGTATCCTCCAACTATTCCAGTACCATGTTGATCCCCCGCCCCCCACAAAAAATCTTATAAAGGACAAACTGATTCAAGGCCCATTTCACGCAGAATAGAATAATTTTAATAATCATTGAACTTGTGATATTCACAACTGAGTCCAGAAAAAAATGACAAAGACAAATTGTTTTAAGAAAAATGACTAAGAAACCTGTTCTGAAATGCATGCTCAGAATTAGACACAGCAAGTCATCACTCTATGGTCATAAGTTTGTACAAAGACACTAACCTGGCTTGCTGGAAGTGAAGAACAGAACACCCTGCTCACAGCTGGACTTACCTACATAAAAGAGAGAAATACCTTATGAATCCTACTGCTTGCCAGGAGCACATGGTGAGCCATTAAATTTTTTAACATATATTGTTTCCTTTTTTTTCCTTCAAAAGGGCAGAATCTGCTTTACTTTTGCTAAGTGCTAGTGTTAAAGTGGCATTTCTTTGGGTTCAATACATCCTGAAATAGCCAAGTTAACATTTTGTAGCATTTGTTAAAATATATTTCTGAGCATTTGGGGATGATACAAAAAAAGCATTTGGCCACAAACCCATGGATGGGAACAAGGAAAACCTTACAGGCATTTTACAATATGGAAGTTAACAGAAGTGCACATGCTATTCCTCCAAAATTACATTTTAGACAATATTATCCCAAGTAAAAGAGCAAATGATTCTGACTTTTCCTGTTTAATTGTATATGTATAGTTAATAAGTTGTGTAATTGAGTCAATGACATCACACTACCTGTGTTTCTATTTCCACTTCTACGATCACAAACAGCCCTTACTTAATTTATAGTACCTTCAATATTTGGGAAAATAATCAATGGGCAAGTTTAGAAGAATATTGACCATGATTTTATTGCTTTCCTGTGATTTTTCAGTCTTCTACTCTGGGATGAACTGGTTAAACCCCTTTCCCACAAATACGTCCAAATAATGATACAGGACTATCAGAGGAAACCTTGTTTAACGTAATAACTTACTGCCCACTCCACCTGCAGAGCAGTAGGCAGACATTATTTATACTGAAAAGAACTTGTGTTTATTTTCTAGCAACCAGTAACTCTCAGGCATCTACAAAGTTATTGGAAACAAAATATAACTCTAAATTTCTAAAGAGTGTTTGTAAACAAACTTATCAATGTATGTTTAGAAAAGGCCAGAGCTTGCAGAGATCAAACAGTTTACTGGCTATTTATTTATACCTGCTGATAGTGAGAGGACGTCATACAAAGATGAATGCTACAATTTTTTTGTGGTTCAGAGAGGACACCAGTACAATGTAGAAAATGCAGCCCAGCCCATTTCGGGGATGGGAGAGCCCCATACTAGTGAAATCTGAAGTTGAGCATCTGACTGGGGTCCAGCAGAGCTGCGTGAACAGCATGGGTTAGAGAAGTTCAAAGTCGAGGAGACTCTTCTGGTTTTAACTTCCTAGATCTTCCTAGGTCTGGGGTGCCTTTGTGTATATATCAACCTTCATGCATTTTTTTTTTTTTTTTTACCCCCAGCAAATGTGTAGTCAGCTCGAAAGGCACAGCTTGTGTGCTGACGAGCAAAGCCAAGTCAAAACCCGGCGCTTGGCGCTGCCTTCTAACTTTTTGGCTTGTCCAAGTCTAAATATTGACATTGCTCCTCAGTTGAGATGTTTGATACTGCAGAGGGTAGAAAGGGGGCAGCTAAAAGTAAGCTCTAATGATTTACATGGTTGTGACTTCTTTCCACCTTTTTGGGGAGGGGGTTAGATTCCCCTGCCTGCAGTCCCTACCCCGCCCCCCCGACTGTTCTCCCCGAAAGCTGTGCACACAGAGACAAGGTAAGGTGTTTTCCAAGCCCCTCGTGGCAGCTCCTACTGTTGTCACAGCAACTCACAACAGACTCCACAGACACGGGGTTGGGGTGGGGAGCGTCAAACCGTGGGCTGACCCGTCAAGTCCCGTGGGAGAGCAAGCACCAAAGGGGTTGGAGTATCCCCTATTGAGCTCCTCTGGCTCCCACCACTGTTCTTCGAAGGAAAAGAACCCTCCTGTACGTGCGCCACCACCCGCTCCCTGGCGTAGCCAGCCCGCTAAGGGTGCCTGTTGTACATTTTCTTAGCTCCAACTTAGGGGTGCGGCTGTGCAGGAGCTCCTAGAAATCTCTTTTGCTGGCCTCTGCTGTGAGACTTCCCTGCTTCGCAGAGAGGCGAGGGCGGCTCCGATCGCGGTGCAGTCCCACAAGTCTCTCCCGGGACGCTGCTGGCCGCGTGGCGCGGCCAAGGGGCCCCAGATGCCCCCCGCTGGGGCCAGGGAGGAGGGGGCTCTGCGGCGGCTGTTCGGAGAAGAAGTTTCATACCATAGCGCACTCACGACACGAAACCTACCCTGAAGCCGAGCGAGACGCGAGCTCTCTCCGCCTTCAAGGATTGGGGGAGCGGGGGGGCCCCCGCCACTCAGCAGCAGCCACGACTGCGCGCGGTCGCGGGTGTGCCGGGCCCCTGCGCGCGGCGTGCCGCCCGCCGCCCAACTTTGCACAAAGGCAGCATGGCACTGCCTCGCCTTGCCGGCTCGCCTCGCGCCGCGGCCGCTCTTCCCGGTCCGGGGCGAGAGGGGCTCGCCCCTTTCCCCCGCCAGCCCTCCCCTTTCTCCTCTGCCCCCACCCCGCTCCCAGGCGGGCCAGCCAGGCGGAACAGAGCGCCGGCACCGAGCTCCGCCGCCGTGGCGGCCGCGGCTGCTCTGACGTTAGCAGCCTTCGCGGCTATTTATATACACACGATTGGATTTCATTCATGAAACCCGGGCCTGGTGTGTCTGTGCGCCTGGGCGCGGTGGCAAAGGTGCCTCAGCTTTAGGCAGACCCGGGAGGCCCGGGCTCGGGGCGGATTGCCCGGGACAAACACGCGCAGAGCACGGGGGACCCCGGCCCTCTCCCTGCTGCCGGGAGGGGAGGGTGAGGGCGATCTGTGCCCCGGTCCCCTGTGCCCAACATCCCACCCACACCCGTACTACTGCTGGCCCTTTGTCCCAGGCTCTGGAAAAGTAAGTTGGGCCACTAACCGGCTGGGCAGCATGGCTTTCTTCCCCCTAGAAGCTGACCGGCCGCGGACTCCGAGGGAGGACATTGGCTTTTGTTTCAAAACCGAGCCCAGCTGCTGAGTAAGGGCTGCGTTAGCCCAGCCTCCTCCTCCCTTGGGAAGCTGCACGTGCCGGCGGGCTCCCTCCTCTGAGTTACCTTCCTCTGTCACTCGGTTCCTGGGGCCTCCGCAGGGGGCATAGGGACACCCCCGCTGTCATTTCCTCCCCCACCTCCCCCGGGAAGGGGGCGATTTATGACCTCCTACAAATGGCTGAGTGAGGAAGAGAAATGAACTTGTGGCTGCTCATGGGTTGTCAGAATTCCTGGGAGCCCACCAGAGTCCATCCCTTCTCATAAATTCTTCACTTTTCCAGGCTGACTGTGAGCTTGGACGACAGGACCAAAGGTAGCTTTCGTGCATTCACATAACAAATACTGAGGACTTACAGTAGTTTGTTTAGGTACCCTGCCAAGCTCTAAGGAGGTTAGGGTGAACATAACCAACCTGGTTCCGGTGCTCACGCAGCTTTCCATCAGCCTGCTAAAATTAGTGCGTCTTAAACTTCCTCACTCTTAGCCTATCAAGAGACAACTGGGGATAAAGGCTTTTATGTGTTCAGCTGCCTTGAGGGATTTTTTCATTTAGGAAACCTTTAATGAGGAGGCTATGTACCAAGGGCTTGGGGATACAATGTGTCCTTAGTCCTCAAGGAATTCTCAGATAATGAGTTACTAAGGTTTTGAAGGTCACATTTGATCATGAGGGTTATCTCTTTGTGTTATCCCCCAAGAAATACAATATTAGAAAAAATTCTAATTGAAAATAAACCCCTGTTCCTCAAAGGTTCTTCCAGGAAACCATCTTCAGTTTCCTATTTGGAATACTTACTCTTCCTTCCCAGAAGTCCCACAGGAGTTTTAGTCCACTGCATATTCATACTCTTTCTCACTAGATTATATATTCCCTTCAGAGATAAAGTCTTGCCTGGTGGTCTCAGAATCCCCCACAGGCCCCAGAACATTGTGAAATTCAATGTTTTCATAAAGAAAGGTATTAAGGGCAACCTGCTTTGTTTAGGCTAACCTCACTGAACTATCTTTGGAAATTGAGTTACCTGTTCCTAATCTTTGATACGCAGAAGAGACGGTAGTGAAAATCAAGTATGGTGGTTTACTCTAAGAATTTCAAGACAGATACACGAGAGGATGATCATTTACTTGGCACCAAATGGACTTCCTTTAGTCTATTTAAAAATGACTATTTTGAAAATACAGTCTTTTCAGTAACACATTTCTCGGGAAAAGTTAATTAACCGTGTTCACTCTTAGCCATCAGTCCTCTTTATTGAAAGCCATTTCTCTTCAAGCTGCTCTATTGGCCAAGAAACAGGGTAAAAACTCAAGAGAAATGGGAATCAATGTGTATTGTGGCCCTCATATGAGACAGGCAATGGTCTATGGGGTTTAAAACACATTTTCTCAATTAATCCTCCGAACAAACAACAAGGTTATTATCATAACCATTTTATATATGAGGACACAAAGATATACAGAAGAAAGACTTTTTCTGAGATTTTGAAGTTGCACTTGTCCTGGAATAGCTGGTGCCAAGGCCTTCTTGTATCATTAACCTGCTTTTTGACATCTTGCCTTTCCTCACTTTCATTTCATTTTCATAAGTTAAAAAAAGTTAAGTGGCATGCTTAAGCAACAGGTAGGCACTAGGACCAGAAAGACACCTACACAAAGACCTCAGGAGATTGGCTACCATCTAGGTGTTGCCATCTACCCCCAGGGGGCACTTAGGCTTAGTTAGACTTTCCAAAGGATATTTTTTCTGTAGGGGGTAAAGAACAAACAGTCATCCTGGAACTACCCAGTTGTATGCCTAAATCTGAGGCACACTGATCAGAGGAAAATAAATTGGTATAAATGGTAATTCAGATATGGCAGAAGAAAAGTCACTGTTCCAGGAATTCCTTCCAAACAAGGGCAGTAATCTGAGGAAGATGTTGCCACAGTGGGGCTACAGCCCCCAAATTTTTACATGTGAAATCCCTGGTTCTGGAAAAGTTAGAGAAAATGAGCAAGGAATACAAACTATATTTTGCCAATAACAAAGGAGGAAAAAGGAATAGCAAATAATCCCCTGAATCACTCTCATGAATATATCACTTCTTATTACCACAAAATAATCCACACTTGTATACTAAAATTGTTGCTTGCT